GTGGCAGGCGCCTGTAGTCCCAGTTACTCGGAGGGTGAGGCAGGAGAATGGCGTGAACCCGGGGAGGCGAGCTTGCTGTGAGCTGAGATCCGGCCACTGCACTCCAGCCTGGGTGGACAGAGTGAGACTCTCAAAAAAAAAAAAAAAGACTTACAGAAAAATTGTGAAGATAGTGCAAAGAAGTCTCATATATCCCTGCATCCAGTTTCCCTTATTGTTAACATCTTACATTAATGTGGTACAGTTGTTACAGTTAATGAACCAGTATTGATACATAATTGTAAACTGGAGTCCATACTTTATTTAGATTTACTTAGTCTACCTAATGTCCATTTTCTGTTCCAGGATCTTACTCATTATACCATCTTACATTTAGTCCTATTTCCTTGGGGTGCCTCTTGATTGGGCTGGTTTCTCAGACTTTCTTTGGTTTTGATGGCACTTAATCTATTTTAAGATTGATAAGTTACAGTTCTTCATAGTTTGTTTTGTTGATCTGTTTTCCTCCATGTACTACTGTAGTCTATTCATTTAAAACTGCCTTTTTATTTTTCCAGTAGGAAATCCATGAAGTCCAGAAGTAGAAGTCCTGCATATTCAAGACATTCATCTTCTCATAGTAAAAAGAAGAGATCCAGTTCACGCAGTCGTCATTCCAGTATCTCACCTGTCAGGCTTCCACTGAATTCCAGTCTGGGAGCTGAACTCAGTAGGAAAAAGAAGGAAAGAGCAGCTGCTGCTGCTGCAGCAAAAATGGATGGAAAGGAATCCAAGGGTTCACCTGTATTTTTGCCTAGAAAAGAGAACAGTTCAGTAGAGGCTAAGGATTCAGGTTTGGAGTCTAAAAAGTTACCCAGAAGTGTAAAATTGGAAAAATCTGCTCCAGATACTGATCTGGTGAATGTAACACATCTAAACACAGAGGTAAAAAATTCTTTAGATACAGGGAAAGTAAAGTTGGATGAGAACTCTGAGAAGCATCTTGTTAAAGATTTGAAAGCACAGGGAACAAGAGACTCTAAACCCATAGCACTGAAAGAGGAGATTGTTACTCCAAAGGAGACAGAAACATCAGAAAAGGAGACCCCTCCACCTCTTCCTACAATTACTTCTCCCCCACCCCCTCTACCAACTACTACCCCTCCACCTCAGACACCCCCTTTGCCACCTTTGCCTCCAGTACCAGCTCTTCCGCAGCAACCACCTCTGCCTCCTTCTCAGCCAGCATTTAGTCAGGTTCCTGCTTCCAGTACTTCAACTTTGCCCTCTTCTACTCACTCAAAGACATCTTCTGTGTCCTCTCAGGCAAATTCTCAGCCCCCTGTACAGGTTTCTGTGAAGACTCAAGTATCTGTAACAGCTGCTATTCCACACCTGAAAACTTCAACATTGCCTCCTCTGCCCCTCCCACCCTTATTACCTGGAGATGATGACATGGATAGGTAAGTCCTATAGTGAACTGGAAAAAACCCACTTGATCTAAACATATAGCATTTTCTGTTTTAATCTTTGTCAAAACTACCGTCATGGTTTTATGAGCAGGAAATGCCTTTGATATTTTCAGTGGGAAAGTCTGTATTTATGACATTATTACTTGGAAAGAGATAATTAGAATTTGAGGCCTGGTTAACCCATTTTATCATTAAGTTTATTTTATTTATTTTTTTTTATTTTGAGACATGGTCTTGCTGTGTCGCCCAGGCTGTAGTGCAGTGGTGTCATCTCGGCTTACTGCAGCATCTGCCTCCCGGGTTCAAGCGATTCTCCTGCCTCAGCCTCAGCCTTAGCCTCCTCAGCAACTGGGACTGCAGGCATGCACCACCATACCTGGCTAATTTTTGTATTTTTAATAGAGACGGGGTTTCGCCATGTTGGCCGTGCTGGTCTCGAACTGACCTCAAGTGATTTTCCCACCTTGGCCTGCTAAAGTGCTGAGAGTACAGGCGTGAGCCACCGTGCCTAGCCTAAGTTTATTGATAATGCTAATTTTGATTAAAATTTGAAGGAAACGAGTTTTTCCCTTAAATTTTTGTTGAAAATATTAATACCTATAGAATAATTAAAAGTAATAGGCTGGGTACAGTGGCTTATACCTGTAATCCCAGCACTTTGGGAGGCTGAGGCAGGCAGGTGGATCACCTGAGGTCAGGAGTTCAAGACCAGCCTGGCCAACATGGTGAAACTCCGTCTCTGCTAAAAATATAAAAATTAGCTGGGCGTGGTGGTGGGCCCCTGTAATCCCAGCTACTTGAGAGGCTGAGGTAGGAGAATCACTTGAGCCCAGGATACGGAGGTTGCAGCGAGCCAGGATTGCTAATTGACATATTTGCTTTTGCTTTAACTGTGGGTATCATGACTCTTCTAAGTACTTCAGCATGTCTCTCCTAATAATGACGTTGTTCTGTGTAATTACAATATCTTCATCACCCTGAAAAATTTAGGATTGACTTAATAACATTAATAGTTATATAAATAACATGCTATCTGCCATGCGCAGTGGCTCATGCCTGTAATCCCGGCACTTTGGGAGGCCGAGGCGGGTGGATCGTGAGGTCAGGATATCAAGACTATCTTGGCGAACACGGTGAAACCCCGCCTCTACTAAAAATATAAAAAATTAGCCGGGCGTGGTGGCAGACGCCTGTAGTCCCAGCTACTCGGGAGGCTGAGGTAAGAATGGCGCGAACCTGGGAGGCGGAGCTTGTAGTGAGTTGAGATCATACCACTGCACTCCAGCCTGGGCGACAGAACGAGACTCCATCTCAGAAAAACCAAACCAAACAAAATAATAATATTTAACCAAATAGTCCCAGTAGCCCCCAAAATGTCTTCATTGTTGGTTTTTGTTTTCAATTGGAATTCAGAATAACTCACAAAATGTCATTTATAGCTGAGTTTGTTTTTTCTCTCCTGATCCAGGGTCCAAACTGGGTTTATTTTGAAAAGGGCTGCTTTTTTTTTTTGTTTTTTAATTATTCCATAAAAAGGGGGGGAGGGGGGAGGGATTGCATTAGGAGTTGTATCTGATGTAAATGACGAGTTGATGGGTGCTGACGAGTTGATGGGTGCAGCATGCCAGCATGGCACAAGTATACATATGTAACAAACCTGCACGTTATGCACATGTACCCTAGAACTTAAAGTATAATAATAAAAAAGAAAAAAAAATTACCATGGTAAATTTTAGATTATGTGTAATTTGCCATAATTAAAAATTTTTTACTTAAAAAAATGCATTTTTCAGATGAGGAAATTGAGACACAGGGTAACATGTAAAAAAAAATTATTCCATAAAAAGTAAAAGAATAATATGTAAAATATTTGCTAATTAGAATATAATTCACAGTGGGATGATGGGAAGAACCTTAATTTTAATAAGTTCTCTGAATATTGAGAATTGAAATGATTACAAAGCATGAATCTAATTTTATAGAAGACATTAACAAAAATATTTCTTTAAGGCTGGACTTGGTGGCTCACGCCTGTAATTTCAGCAATCTGGGAAACTGAGGGAGATAAGATCACTTGAACCCAGGAGTTCAAGATCAGCCTGGCCAACATGGTGGAACCCCATCTCTACTAAAAACATACAAAAATTAGCCAGGCGTGGCCAGGTACGGTGGCTCATGCCTTTAATCCCAGCACTTTGGGAAGCTGAGGCGGGTGGATCACGAGGTCAGGAGTTCAAGACCAGCCTGGCCACGATGGTGAAAGGGCGTGGTGATGGGTGCCTGTAGTCCCAGCTACTGGGAAGGCTGAGGCAGAGAATTGCTTGTGAGGTTGCAGTGAGCCGAGATTGTGCCACTGCACTCCAGCCTTGGCAACAGAGCGAGACTCCGCCTCAAAAAAAAAAAATAAAAATGAGGCCAGGCGTGGTGACTTTGGGAGGCCGAGACGGGCGGATCACGAGGTCAGGAGATCGAGACCATCCTGGCTAACCCGGTGAAACCCTGTCTCTACTAAATAATACAAAAAACTAGCCGGGCAAGGTGTCAGGTGCCTGTAGTCCCAGCTACTTGGGAGGCTGAGGCAGGAGAATGGCGTGAACCCGGGGAGGCGGAGCTTGCAGTGAGCTGAGATCTGGCCATTGCACTCCAGCCTGGGTGACAGAGCGAGACTCCTTCTCAAAAAAAAAAAAAGAAAAATTAGCCAGGCGTGGTGGCAGGCGCCTGTAATCCCAGATGCTCAGAAGGCTGAGGTGGGAGGATCACTTGAACGCAGGAGGCGGAGGCTGCGGTGAGCCGAGGTCATGCCACTGCACTGCAGCCTGGGCGACAGAGCGAAACTCTGTTTCAAAACAATATATATGTATTTCTTTAATATCTTGACAGGACCAACTAGGCATGTACCACCAAACACACTTGCTTTAGCAGTGACATGTGATGGCAGTCTTTGTGTTACGGTTTGCTTATTCTACTGCGATCCTATGCTCTTTGGGATGTGAATTACATTTATTGAAACAAACTTTTCATTGTAAGCACAAAATTAAGTGCCACTGATCTTGCATCCTAGCCTAATTCCCAGGCCTCTGTTCCTTTCAAGGTAATAATTGTAGTTTTATTTCATTTTATTTTGAGACAGGCTCTGGCTCTGTCCCCCAGGCTGGAGTTCAGTGATGCGATCTAGGCTCTTTGCAACCTCTGCCTCCCAGACTCAGGTGATCCTCCCACCTTAGCTTTAAGCTTCCTGACTAGTTGAGATTACAGGTGCACGCCACCACATTGGCTTAATTTATTTTTTGTAGAGATGGTATTTCATCCATGTTGCCCAGGTTGGTCTTGAGACTCCTGGACTCAAGTGATCCATTGCCTTGCCTTCAAAGTGTTGGGATTACAGGCATGAAACCACCACTCCCGGCCAGTATTAGTGATTTGAATGATGCATACCATTGCAGCCCTCTGGGTGAGAAGTATGTTTTTCATAT